AAATATTCTAGACCAAGCTGAAATTACCCGCTATTTGAAGTCAGAGTGGAGCATAATGCCGTGCAAGTTAATAGATCAGTGAAAGCTGTTTTGTCAGCTTATAAAAAGGTGAGCGAACTAAATTTTTATAATAAATAGTTTTGCTGAGCAAACAATATGTGCAGTTATTATGGACTTTGGAAAGTAAATGATTTTAGACTAATGCCGGGCTCCAGATCCTGATGTGGTAGTTGAGCCTTCAAAATGAAAAGAATGAAAAACCTTCGGAATATTGTTGACACTCACTTTATGAAAGTACATGGCATTTAATTCATTACTGCGCTTTTCAAATAACATTTATAGTTGTAGTATTAACCTCTGGGCATTTTCATGTTACTTATCGAGGGCAGTTCGGGAGGAATAATTTTGTCTGGAGAGGGGAGGCAGCAGTTTAGAGGGGAGTGGATTGCACAGACTCAGTGGTGGGCATGTTCTAAGACCAGCACAGATGATCAAAGACCCCGCTATCTTGGTTCTGGTCTGCAAGTGCCAGTGGCTGCATTTCATGTCTTCAAAACCTTGATCGCACTAAAATATCTTGCTAGATGAATTTTTGATCTTTTAAAAAGCATGCCCCTTGAAAAAATGAATCACAAGCCTACAGACTTTTAAAATAATAACTGGAGCTTTTCCTTGCCCACTGCTCCCTGGTTCCTTCCATTGTCTCCTTCTATGGCTTCTGGTCCATTCTGTGAATGGGACTGCAGCCCCCTGGGCCCTGCTGTCATCAGGATACCTGGTGTTGAATAGCCCTGCTTTTTAACAGCAGAACTCAGTGTTGTCATTGTCATTTGAAAGCTTTGGAAATATGAGAGTTGCTCTGGTAATGAAAGGTAAGTGCAGTAGTTGTTATCACATTCAGTATTTTGGTCAGTTTAGTGGTTGCTTAGTAACTAAAGTTAAACCAACCACAAGATGGAAAAACTTGAAATTCACTTCCAGGGATTGCCTCAGACTGCCAAGAAGGCACCTTTCTGTTTAATTGTGACTAATTCCTTATAAGTGACTTGAACCCTTTTGGAAGTGGTGCATTGTTTTCTGGATATTAGGTATACTCATGAGCATCCAAAACCGTTCACTGTCTGAGAAGGCTCTCAAGTCTACCCAAGTCCCCTAAGTCTGGCAGAATTTGGACACCACTTCCCAGCCCCCACAGGTCCCAGCCTTGCTGCCAGCCTCTGTGACATAGAGTCTATGTGAATCCAGGCCCTGGGGAACCCCTCTCTTCTGTAGCCTTGGCTTGTGTCTGACCCTGTACTGGCCCCTTGGCCAATGGCAGAGCCAGGCGAGGATTGAGAAGTGAGTAAAGGCAGGCAGCCACACCTCTGCCCCTTATCTCCAGACCCCCAGGATTGGGGACTCCCGGAGAATCAAAGGGGAAGCTCTGGCCAGAGGATCTTCCTGATGGAAGGGGAGTTATCAGTGATTCCTCTGGGGCCTGAAGTCATTCCCCTCCTCCCCTTTCTTCCTTCACTCAGCAAAATACATCACCCACCTGCTGTGTGCTTTTCTTCTTCATTTCATACTGAGAGACACAGCAGGGCCTGCCTCTCTGTCTGACCCCGTACACACCGCCAGAAAGAGTAGCTGGCACCCCCAAGAAAACCTGGCCCGGAATAGAACATCCCTCTGGAAGACAGACCCCCCAAACCCCACAGTGTATGTGATCTGACACAAAACAGATGGGCCACGGGTACAAAATAAGCATGAGAAATATACTCAAGGAGAGAAGGGAAGATAATAGCAATGTAAAGCAAAAACAAGGGATACTTTTTTTAAATGAATGAAGCAGAAGTAACAGGTATGAAAAACAGAATAATCACACTAAGGAACAAGAGAGACAAGGTAAATTACAGGATGGATACAGCTCCAGTGAGTCTAACTGGTGAACCGTCCCAAAGCAGCAGGAGAGGAAAAAGAAAGGTTGAATGATGTGGGGGACAGATGGAGATGTGCCAGCAATGTCCAAATACTAGAGTTCCAAACTGAGCAGAAGGAATATTTGAATGACAGATAAATTAACCAGGATTCAAGGAAGATGAAAGGGGTCGTCAAGGCCCCAAAATGAGAGATTAGAAAAAACCCTCGCCAAGGCCCACGCTCAGGATCTCTGCTCACTCAGCCAGGCCGTTCCCCATCCAGCTGCCAGTCCTGCAACCAGCTCCCTTGACCTGCTCAAGAGAGAAGTGAGACGCCACCTATAAATCTTTTTTCAGTTATTTAGCAGCTAAGCATTCCATCTTTCTCTTGTAAATACACAGTACTGGCAAGATCTACAGGAGCCACGTCTGTATGTGCCCATCCCGTAGCCCCTGCCCAGAGCCAGGAAACTTGTAGTGTTGGGAACATTCATGGAATGAGAGTGAATGAATGAATGATGCCAGTAGCCGGGGAAGTTTGCCATGTATATCTGGACTTTGTTAAATGTAGATGAATAACTATTTGATTAGAGTTCTAAACTGTGTTTAAAAGTTGTGATTTGCCTTAAGAAAAGTTTGTTCACTTTTTATTTCATCTTGTACCCAATGGAGTTTGCACTTGATCAGCAGGTTGTCAGGATAGCAGCTTTCTGTACTGACTGTCAGGTATTCTTTTCTGTCCTGTTTTAGACCCTTAACACCTTTAATGATTTTTTTTTTTTTTTTTTTTTTTTTTTTTTTTTTNGCTCAGGATCTCTGCTCACTCAGCCAGGCCGTTCCCCATCCAGCTGCCAGTCCTGCAACCAGCTCCCTTGACCTGCTCAAGAGAGAAGTGAGACGCCACCTATAAATCTTTTTTCAGTTATTTAGCAGCTAAGCATTCCATCTTTCTCTTGTAAATACACAGTACTGGCAAGATCTACAGGAGCCACGTCTGTATGTGCCCATCCCGTAGCCCCTGCCCAGAGCCAGGAAACTTGTAGTGTTGGGAACATTCATGGAATGAGAGTGAATGAATGAATGATGCCAGTAGCCGGGGAAGTTTGCCATGTATATCTGGACTTTGTTAAATGTAGATGAATAACTATTTGATTAGAGTTCTAAACTGTGTTTAAAAGTTGTGATTTGCCTTAAGAAAAGTTTGTTCACTTTTTATTTCATCTTGTACCCAATGGAGTTTGCACTTGATCAGCAGGTTGTCAGGATAGCAGCTTTCTGTACTGACTGTCAGGTATTCTTTTCTGTCCTGTTTTAGACCCTTAACACCTTTAATGATTTTTTTTTTTTTTTTTTTTTTTTTTTAATCCTTTGCCGTCATTACACTATCTTTTCTTTGGCACAGCAGTTTTTCTGAGATTTTGGAGGTTTCCGTTTCAGATAATGCGGTGAGATGTTTAGTAATTTAAGCTGCCCCAGCCCACCCCCTTGCACCCAGTATTTCACTGCAGAGGCCCAGTTGGGGTGTTTGTCTTCCAGAGACACTGCCTTCTTCACAAAGTCATCCTAAAAATAGCTTCATTTAACTAGGACATTTTATGAATTGTTTCAGACTTTTCTCAGGCCAGTCTGAAAGCAGGATACTATTTCAAACAGATACAATGAGCCTTGAACCTGATCACAAGGCATCTGCTGCCCTGTTCGGACTGCTGGGGGTTGATAAGATTGCCTCAAATCGCAGTGTGTGGCTAAGGCTAGAAAAGCCTTGGGTGCAGTAAACAGCAAAACCAACCAGCCAGGGCCTGAACGTAGTTTGTCTAACTCTCAGTATTAAGAGTGGGTGCTTAGGACCAGAGAAGCAGATTTTGTTCAGGACTCTGGCCTCCTGCCTGATGCCAAGCCTTGCGCAAGCACCAGAGATGAGGGCAAAGGTGACACACAGATGGGAAGGGAGGTGGGGGGGCACTAGGCTGTGCTGCTCCCTGAGATGGAACCACTGGGAGGATTTGAGAAGGGCTTGGGGAGGGGGCAGAAGAAGGAGATGAGGTTCCAGAATGGAAGGTGATCTGGACACATAGCACACAGGTCAAGGCTGTTTGGGGGCCCACAGTGGTGGGAATTGTCTGAGTACATGGCTATAGGGCTGAGTGGTAGCTGAGGCAGGAGGTGGCAAGAGTCTCCCTGTAGAAGGACCAAGTGCACAGCACTGAGGGGTGTGAATGAGCCCTGTAGAATCAGCAAGAGTGGACCCTTAACCCCAGTGTGGATCTGTGACTGTAACATGCCATTCCATCTGCCATGGGTGTGCTAAACCTTCCTTGGTTGCAACCAGTCGTGGCCTTAGCCTCCTGATAGGGACCCCATCATCAGGAGCTGTCCTACAGAAGTTGGGGCAGTGACTTGCCTGGGTGCCGGGTTCTAACCTGTCGTAGACTTTTGAAATTGACCATGCCCATCTCAATAGAATTTTCAGCAGTATTCTCTCTTATGATGTTATATGTCGAAACCGTATTATTGCCTTCAAAATTACTCAAGGAAGTACTTTGAAAATGGGAAAAAAGCACCTGAGAACTCCCTGTGTGTGAGCAGGCCAGGTGATGATGGTGAACGCAGGTAGTTTATAGAACAGACTTCAGAGTCCCCCGACCTGCATTCCCAACCTCCCCTCCACCTTCTCATGGTTCTCTCAGTCCTAGTAAACTTCTACTCATCCTTCAAAGCCTAATTCACACGTGACCTCCTACAAAGCCTTTTCAGATTCTCTCTCCCAAGGAGAATTCATCTCTCCCTCTTATTTTTCCAGAGTACTCTGTTCAGACTTCTATTCAGTCTCTTGGCAGGACACTGTATTTTATCTTTTTATGGTTTCTCCCTGACAAGATTGGGAGCACCTCCAGGGCAGATCAGCCCTTCCCCCAGTGCAAGCCCACCTCCTCCAAGTGAGCAGTGGTGCCCCCTCACAGGTCTGCATGGCTCTTCTCTCCCCTGACACTGGACTCTGCCTAGAATGTGTACCTATGGGTCATTCTGCCAGGATCAGAACCATGGGCACCCCTTGAGCCTGTCTTACTACTTACTAACGCACTCTCTTCTCTCATCTCCTAGGGCCGACGAAATTGAAATGATCATGACGGACCTTGAAAGAGCAAACCAGGTAGGATGCTTGATAGCTTCAGGCATAAAATCACAATAGCACAGCCATTTATCATCTTGGAAAATGCTTCTCTCTAAGTTAGAAGACCAGTTATTCTTGTATTTTTTTAGACACAGCTGTCAATGTTGATACTTTTCCTGATGTCATTAGAAATACATGAAAAGTCACAGGCAAAGGTTTTGATGTGACCCTAGCATCCCAGATATCTCCTGGTGAATGTCCACTGCAGAGTGGCTACCTCTTGTTCTTTTTCTTAACTCATCTCTCAAATACCCGCCTCTATTTATGTGGCAGCCATTATGCTAGAGAGTTTATACCACTGAGTTAGGCTACAGAGAAGTCTTTCTCACTCCCTTCTACTGGGTGAAGCCTCTTGTCTGGAGAGGGCCTCCAGCTGACAGCCCCCTCTTGGCTGGTACTTAGTTGGCACAGGTGCCTTGCAGGAAGTACCCAACAGTGTCTGGCACATAATAGGCACATGGTATTGGGTGGCTGTAAATACTCAGCTGCCTGGAAAATTTGGCCACCCTATAGAACCCCTTCCTTCCCCAAGGACTCCGTAGAACAGTAAAACATTTTGCTTCAGCAAATAGTGCTGCTGCTTTGGAAAGAAAGAGGTCTCCCCATTTATTTTCTCTATTTGTGGGGAGAAGCAGCCAAAGCCATGAAGTTTCTCAGCCCTAAAAGGCCACAGGCTATTGCC